AACTGACCTACAAAACATTCTGCTGCAACTCGTAATTCAATTCGTTTGAATAAAATATGAAGTTAAGTCTTCTCATTGATAGTTCGTTTAATAATGCTATTTATTGACTCAGACCATTGGGTAGTTGTTATACCTGCTGTAAAAATTCTGCCTGTAAATGCTTTTGCCCAAGTTGTTTTTTATAGATCAAGTTGTTTAAGCAGATATTCAATAGATTTGGGAAAGTCAACCATTAATTGTTGCCAATATCTACCAAATGCCTCTTTGCATAAAACATTATGTATGCGGTAGAAGGCTTTGAGAAAATCTGCATAATGGTCACCAAGAGACTTTGCAAGCTGCTTCTCAATATTACGTCTGATATGCCAAATACAGTAAAGAAGGTAGGTATTAGGGTACACCTCAGGAATAACACTCTCAAGACCTAGGTCAGCATCAATTATAAAGGCACCAGGTTGAACTCCTGTAGCTTTGATTATTTGCTGTAAAACCCATCTATAACTTTCACTTGTTTCATCAGGCAATACAGCCTGTACAACAATTCTCGACTTAAAGTTGTTATCAACAATAGTAAAAATGCTTAATAGCAAATTATAGGCATTGGTCACCATTGTGTTATCATTTAAAATAATGTCTGCATAGTATCGCCAGAGTTCTCGCTGTTCAGGTGCCATATAAAATATACCTTGTAATCTATTTGTTTCCATGTCAATTAATGGTTGAACTTACCAATCAGAATCCTTTGCACGTTCTTTTTCAAAATGTTCAAAGAGCTTTATAGTATCACCACCTTGTATTGAATGAATATGCCAAAATTTATATACATAGTTCTTCATATCATAATCTATAATTGTTGCTTTAGAAAACAACTCATGAAGTAGCTGAACCTGAGATGGAACATCAAGATCACAGAGTGTATATTTTTTAATAAGATCCTTTATTTCTGCTGTAAGTTTCCAGTATTCAGTAGCAAAGCTAGCATTTTTAGGAACTAACAGATGATTATGTTCAAGATGTATTGATGTCAACTTAATTATAGTTTCACCATCAGGGCCTTTACTCTTGGATGCATTTATAAGAAAAAGGCAATTAATCC